GGCCTGGCTCATCAGTGATGAACCCTCCCAGCAGTTTCGCCAGTTTAATCTACCATACCGCTGTAATATTGCATTTTTCGGGTTTTCTTTTATACTGATACTGAAGATATACTCTTGGAAGGGGTAATTTAAATGAAATATGGACATAAGTTTTGAAGACAGTAGAAATACATATAATAATGGTATAATGTACTTCGAGCATTGCTCTTCCTCAAATTGCAAGTCTTCTTTCTTATCTCCAATCAATCATATTAGGGTATCAAGTTGTGACCCTTGATGGTGTTTGTTTGACAACCATCATGACTGGGTGAAGTAGAATGCGTCTGCCTTTGTCATTAAGACTGGGAGCACTACTCAGTGGCAGGCCGACTTAGCTCCAAAAGAAATGACCGCCTCTGACATGAGGAACAGAGGTCATGTGCAGCTGCTCCTAACATGGAGTACAAACACTGCTCATCCTGTATCCCTGGATTAGGAGCCTTTACAGGGTACTATCAGCCGGGCCAGCTGAGCCCAGGTTTTTTAGCGAGCTTGTTACTGCTCCCCCTTCTCCTTTTTCATCCGGGCTTGGGACCGGCAAAGGCGGAGTTGAAATTGCAAGTAAATTTCTTATACCTCTAATATGTATAAATAAATCTATGGGGGCTCTCCCTACCATGATACTTTAAGTTCCTTTTTGAGAGGCGAATTTGTTAATATGTTGATCAATTCATTATCACGGTTTGTGGATTTCGATAAATTGCAAAAAGGTATAAGACGCAACTCTTTTCTATTAATGTATAAAGAAGCTTTCGGGAAAGTCCTTCCTCAGCAAACTAAAACATTTAAAACAATTAATAAAAAAAAGAGTTGCGGTGTATTATTCCTTTTTGTAATGTTAATCAATGTTGTTATCTCCGTGTATTTAACTAATTGTATTGTTCTACTTGGTCATTACTGTGTTGTACTCGGTGTTGGAAAGCTATTTGCATCGCTGTGTGGGAATGGAGGGGAAGTTCTCGAGTGACGAGTTCCTTTGATGATTGATTGGAGAGTGAGGACATCTGACTCCGGATGTTCCACATGTCCAGACATTTCTCTGAATCCCTCACTTCTCTTGGAAATTATTGTATGATGCCATCTAAATTGTTGGATAATGTTTGTCTTTTTTTTTAACGCACGGTCGTGAATTAAAAAAAAAAACATATTTATAATCGTTTCCAAAATCACTTTATTAGGTGCCGCTCAAAAAGAGCAACATAATTTATGATATTTGTAACAATGAATAATATGTGAAGGTTATTTACATATTTGATAAAATTTTAACGCGGAATTCAATCCCAGTTCATGACTGTCGGGAATCAAGGGTGTTACCCACTCGTCCACCGACTTTTTTTTTTCATATTTATAAGTTTCAAATAACTTTATTAGGTGCCGATCAAAAAGAGCAACCTAGATAATCATATTTACAATATACTGTGGGGGATTGTTATGTACAGGGATTCATCTACAATTATAATTTATATTGATGTCGTTGGGTCCGGATTATCAAGGTGCATATTTATAATCAACATGAAGTAAATGTAACACAAATTTGTGTGTTTGAGAAGCGGAGTCCTATTTTGAATATAAATTAAAACAGAATCGTTAAAAATGTTTTACAATTAATGTAACATCCTCGTGTTTGTTTAGACATTAGGCGGCAAGAAGTAAATGGGAAGTTAAAAATGAAAACTATTTAGTTTCGCAGCCCGACATATTACACATTGACATATGCTGAGCTGGATTTACATAAGACAAATCTGCACAAATTACCATCAGCGATAATAATCTGCTCACTGAGATAAATAGTAATTTAACAATAAACAACGTCGCTCCTGACGAGGAAAAAAGATTTTTGTCGAGACAATAAAAAGATTTACTGGCCGAAGAATCTTTTATTTGAAGAAATATGAATGCCGGCCAGGCAGCCTCTATCTTTACGATAAACAAAAGAATTGATTATGATATTTTATAATTAATCTATATTAATAAAATGCAAATTTCATAAGTGTACATCACTAAAAACTTTCGTTACAATGCATCAATTTCGACCAAATTTTCAACATTTATGTAAAACGAGATGGAGCAGGTTTTGCTTAACATCAAAATATTTTTCCCTAACATTAACATGCGTAACTTCGCTGTTATCGATTAAATACAAAAAAATATCAACAGAGTTAATTTTATTTATATATAAATACAAAATTAAATTTCAACAGAGTTAATTTTTTTACATACTAGCTAATAATCTCAATCTAAAAAATATTCAAAACAAGCAATTTTAAGATAACACCATATGTAAAACAGTCGGCCAAGAAAACAACAATATAATATAAAAAGCCAACAATTAAGAATAAATGTAAGATAAAAAGCCAACAATGAAGAGCAAATATAATATAAAAAGCCAACAATGAAGAATGAATGTAAGATAAAAAGCCAACAATGAAGACTAAATATGATATAAAAAGCCAACAATGAAGAATGAATGTATGATAAAAAGCCAACAATGAAGAATAAATGTAATATAAAAAGCCAACAATGAAGAATAAATGTAAGATAAAAAGCCAACAATGAAGTGTAAATATAATATAAAAAGCCAACAATGAAGTGTAAATATAATATAAAAAGCCAACAATGAAGAGTGAATGTAAGATGAAAAGCCAACAATGAAGAGTAAATGTAATATAAAAAGCCAACAATGAAGAATGAATGTAAGATAAAAAGCCAACATTGAAGAGTGAATGTAAGATAAAAAGCCAACAATGAATAGTAAATGTAATATAAAAAGCCAACAATGAAGAATGAATGTAAGATAAAAAGCCAACAATGAAGAGTAAATATAATATAAAAAGCCAACAATGAAGAATGAATGTAAGATAAAAAGCCAACAATGAAGAGTAAATATAATATAAAAAGCCAACAATGAAGAGTGAATGTAAGATAAAAAGCCAACAATGAAGAGTAAATGTAATATAAAAAGCCAAAAGAGTGAATGTAAGATAAAAAGCCAACAATGAAGAGTGAATGTAATATAAAAAGCCAACAATGAAGAATGAATGTAAGATAAAAAGCCAACAATGAAGAGTGAATGTAAGATAAAAAGCCAACAATGAAGAATGAATGTAAGATAAAAAGCCAACAATGAAGAGTGAATGTAAGATAAAAAGCCAACAATGAATAGTAAATGTAATATAAAAAGCCAACAATGAAGAATGAATGTAAGATAAAAAGCCAACAATGAAGAGTAAATGTAATATAAAAAGCCAACAGAGTGAATGTAAGATAAAAAGCCAACAATGAAGAGTGAATGTAATATAAAAAGCCAACAATGAAGAATGAATGTAGTTAAAAAGCCAACAATGAAGAGTAAATCTCTATATCTCTATATATATCTATATAAAAGTCAATTTCTGTCTGTCTGTCTGTTTCGCGATAAACTCAAAAACTACTGAACCAATTGGTACCAAATTTTGCATGTCGCTTTTTATAAACCTGAGGAAAATTTTCGGCTGCATTTTGATTAGTATTTTTGGCTATTTCTTTTTTTCATTTGAAGAACTTTTTTTTTACGCGAACTAATCCGGAATGGAATGAATACCTAAATATGGCCATTTTTTAAAGCATCGGTGGTTCAGTGGTAGAATGCTCGCCTGCCACGCGGGCGGCCCGGGTTCGATTCCCGGCCGTTGCATTTTTTTTTTACAATTTTTAAAACTCATTTATATTATCTATATCAGTGATTCTCAACCTTTTTTTTGTTGCGGCACTATTTTAAAGATTTGAAAATTTGGTGGCACAATTTTAGAATTTCGCGGCACACTTTTGCTAACTTGAATGCAAGAAAATTCAAATGATGTATCAATATTTCTAATCAAAATATAAGTAATATACATCTCTAACATTCAATTTGCTAATTTCGTTATTTTAAAAAGTAAAAAAATGAAAAAGAAAAAAAGAAAAACCAATACAAACGTGAACATAATCATATGACTAAAATTCGGCGGCACATTTTTAGAATTTCGCGGCACACAAAATTACCGCGGCACAGTGGTTGAGAATCACTGATCTATATATATATATAATTGAATGTCTGTCTGTCTGTACTCTATAGATTCAAAAACCATACATCCAATCGCCGTGAAATTTTGGGATATTATTAGGTATATCACCGGGAAGGTTTTTGAAAAATAATTTCATGAATATCTTGAATATCCTTAGAGTTATTTGCAGATTTGTACATTTAACTCGCAAGCAGCGCCCCCATTGTGACGATGATAACAAGTTTTCTTATCACTAAGTTTGTTATCTTAAATATTATTTATCAAAAGTAAGATTATCTCAGGATTACACGGCAATTTATTTGCGACAAGAATAATGATACAATTCCAAGGAGAAGATACTATTCCTTTAACTTCCAATTACCGAGGGAACCAATTAATATTGATTTTATTCAACTTATCGAGTATTTTTCAAGGGACCGGGAAAAAATGTTCACTAGATAAAACTATGATTTTCTAATGTAGAAAATTAGGAAAGACAAAATCCAGGATGACACGGCACACAGGGACCGGGAAAAAATGTTCACTTTATCGAGAGATTCAAATTTACGAGTTTCAAATTATCAAAATATATCTTTTTTTTAAATAAGTTTTTAGAGAATTGTTTTAACAAATGTTCGCTAGACAAACCTTTACTCGGGTAAAACCCCGGGCGAAGCCGAGTACGTTTTATAAGTTTAAAGAGAATTGTTTTAACAAATGTTCGTTAGACAAACAGTCACTCGGGTAAAACCCGGGCGAAGCCGGGCACATCCGCTAGTACAATATAATGTGGCTTATGATTGAAGAACGAAATTTGACAATTATACCGCAAATGTTTCTTTTGAACGAAAAATCGAAATTTATTTTAAGGAGAAATAACAATTATTTCTAGCCTTAGGGATGAATTGTGAAGAGTAATGATAAACGGAAAAATAAAGTGTCCAGGGATGGGAATCGAACCCACAGTGTTCCGCTTACCGGGCAGATGCCATGTCCACTAAGCTACCCTGGATATATTCCGACGGAAAAATATGTCCAGGGTAGCCTAGTGGACACGGCATCTGCCCGGTAAGCGGAACACTGTGGGTTCGATTCCCATCCCTGGACACTTTATTTTTCCGTTTATCATTACTCTTCACAATTCATTCTATCATACTTCATCCCTAAGGTTAGAATAATCGTTATTTCTCCTTAAAATAAATTTCGATTTTTCGTTCAAAAGAAACATTTGCGGTATAATTGTCAAATTTCGTTCTTCAATGACTATGATATATTTCAAGTGTGACAATTGCCATCACAATAAATAAACACTAATTTATTAAATAATATTCTGTCTCCTTAGATATATAATATTCTTTAAGACAAGGAACTGCTTGTTCTCGATTGCTTGTACATTAGAACATCCCTGTAAAGGACACCTGATTTCAGAGCCAAAGTGTCCTTTAGGGAGAGGTGTCCTCTTACCGGAGAATCACTAAATAGTTTTTTTTTTTTTGCTTATCCCTAGTACACGTGGTACAGGCCATGATAATCATGGTGGGTAGAAATAAGGGGCTGCTTTTACTGTAAGTTCAACACATGCTTACACATGGGAAAAGCAGTTCGATTTTGCACTTACAAATGTGCCAGAGCCTCGTTTGATTACTTGCACTCGCTGGTGGGGTTGGACTTTTGCAAGAATAGGTGGCCATTGGAGCATTTTTTTAAACTAAATAGTAAAATCAATAATTTTGCAAATGAAAACTGTCCTTTGTAGAGAGGTGTCCTCTAACATGAGTGTCCTCTCATGAAGGTTCTACCACACATAAGTTTATATACCTAACCCTTTCTTTCTTCTTTGCTCATATTTAATACATTTTAAATAACACTTTACTACTACTGTGGAGGTCGGTGGAAGGATGGTCTAAACCGTTGGTTTTCGACCACTACGACCCGGGTTCTATTCCCGTATTGAGCACTTTTTTCTGATTTAAAAAAAAATTCTCCATTGACCTCCGATTCTTGCAAAAGTCCAACCCCACCAACGAGTGCAAGTAACCAAACGGAGGCTCCGGCACATTTGTAAGTACAAAGTCGAACTGTTTTTCACATGTGTAGACATGTGGTGCACTTACAGTTAAAGCAGTCGCCTTCTTCTACCCACCATGATTATCATGGTCTGTACCACGTGTACTAGGGATAAGCAAAAAAAAACTATTACTGTTATTCCTGCATATAGCTTCTTCTACCCGGAGAATCTATATAAGACCAAAATGTCTTAATAAAGCTTCTAATTAATTGATTTAAAAAAATCCTGGATATAAATAATACAACAGGATTCTGGAGATAAGCTTCTTTTCATTTTCATTATTGCAATCTCAAGCTTTCAGG